GCCTTCATTTTCTACTCACCTCCATGCTGAACAACACTCTGGAGTACTTTTTTGATATCTCAAATGCATCTGGAGATCTGGGAGGCTTCTTGCTGTCTGCTGACATTCAAATAATGGAGGTCCATGGCGCCCGAGACAGAAAGGTCCATAAAAGTCCACAAAAACGTGTCAATATTCCTCCATACTGCTCGTCCAATGTAATCCAAGTGTCCTGAGTGGGTAGCATCCAGAATTTACTCGAAACGAAGTCATTTAGAATGTTTTTAGAGCATAAACAGTAGTGTATAGGATTTCCTAATAGCGCCCCCATGCGCGCTCACGATTCTACGGAAGCCGGCAGACCAAACCAGCGCATTCAGCTCGGCAAAGAACTCATGCTCTTCCTCAACACTGAAGTCCTCAGACATTTTTCTTTCGTTGTTTCTTTCTTTGCACAGGTAAACAGCACATTTCTTCTTCTACGCTTGCATTATCGGCAGACCAGACGCTGAATGCGCACTTTCTTCCGGTTTGGTCTGCCGGCTTCCGTAGAATCGTGAGCGCGCATGGGGGCGCTATTAGGAAATCCTATACACTACTGTTTATGCTCTAAAAACATTCTAAATGACTTCGTTTCGAGTAAATTCTGGATGCTACCCACTCAGGACACTTGGATTACATTGGACGAGCAGTATGGAGGAATATTGACACGTTTTTGTGGACTTTTATGGACCTTTCTGTCTCGGGCGCCATGGACCTCCATTATTTGAATGTCAGCAGACAGCAAGAAGCCTCCCAGATCTCCAGATGCATTTGAGATATCAAAAAAGTACTCCAGAGTGTTGTTCAGCATGGAGGTGAGTAGAAAATGAAGGCTAATCATGTTTTGGGTGTACTATTCCTTTAACACTAAGAGACTAGTGGTAACATTGCTAATATAGCAAGTATATTATGTTATTGCTAAAATAGTATAAGTAGATATGTATAAGTTATTGAATCTTTGGTTTGAACTAACAGCACATTTCTGTTTTAGAGTGACTGCACCATTGGCTGGAGCTTATGAAGGTTATTGTTTTTTTTCTTTCTAAGAAAAATTAAATGTGTTAATATTTAAGCCTAAAATTTAAAAAAGCAGGAGATTGGAGATATGCCACACTTTCTTAATCCATTGATCATAGAGGATTAAGCAACGAATGTTCATTCTAAACCACTTTAAAAGACACCAAGCCAAAGTTCTTTTTAAACCCCATTCTTGAGGAAACAGCGGGAACACAATCGTATCAAATCATAATCAAACCAAAGCAGAAATCCTTTCGTTTCCTCTATTTATAGTTGAACGCTTTGCTGACTGTGCAGAGTCTGATGCAACAACCTTGATAAGTTTCTGAGAAAATAAAAAGCATGTAAGTGAAGGGGAAAGGCTGAAGATAGACTTGTTTTCCAGGCCTGATATTCTTTATAGTGCTTCCAGCAGCACAGATCAGAGTAAAATCCCTACAGGAATTTCAATGTGTTCATCTACTCTGACTTGCTTTTTACAACACAGCTTCATTTAGCTGCCGACTGATGCTATACAGTAAATGTGAGCGATGTAAAACACATGATGGACCCACTCTCAGCTTCCTGTGACTTCCTGCGCCCAGCTGTGAAACTCCCAAAACTGTTTTTCCACTGAGACTTTTCAAGTACTATCTTTGTCCCTCCAGACGCCCCTATAGAGCGGCTCAGGTGGCGGAGCGCAGAGAGACATGATTGCAGTGGGCAGCCTCCAGCTGCGAATACGTCTCTCAGTGTGAATGCTAAGCAGAGCATGTGCTGGCAGTGTAACTGTGTCCTTTGGGGAGTCGATAACAAAAACAACCAAAATAGTATTCAAACTTTCAACGACGACAGCAGGAATAAGCACAAAAAACAAGACACTTGCTCGTCCCATGCATGAGACTAACAATCTATCAGAAAAAGATCATAAAGAGAAAGAGACGTGTTTGCCGTGTTGGTGCAATGGAGGATGTTCTTTTTGCGAGTGGATGATCAAAATAAGTGGTCTTCCTAATTGTCAATCATTCTGCTGATATGTTTACGTAAGGCCATCATACGTGCTCGTCCCCATTTTCAGTGGGACATAGTGGGAAAAATTGCAAATCTTCTTTTGGAAATTAAAGCTACAGTGTGTAACTTTTAGCGACATCTAGCGGTCAGACTGCAGACTGCAGCAACATGAACATCTCCCCCCACCGCTTCTCCCCCCCAACAGTACGGCGAGCGTTACGGGACAAAATGTCTTCCACGACGTCCGCATCACCTACCTTCTCAAGTGATGAGGTCTGTTTACATAGATAATTTTACAGATAGTATTTCATTAGTCTGTGTGGGGTATAGATTTCATGTAGACTTAAGATAATAAATATACCCGTTATTTTTTCTACATCGTTGTGACGTTTTGGCGTTTTGGCTCTGCAGCGCAAAGATGTCTGCCTCCATGGCCGCGAGACCCGCTCCTATGTAATTATAAATGACGAATTCTAAGGCAACACAAATATTAAGGTTAAGAGGCTGAGCTCGTAGATGATGATAAATAACATAGTTATGTATAATATATTACATTTCTGACTGTATATCCCTGTAATTATTACACACTGTAGCTTTAAGCTTTTATGAGCGATGCAAACAGCAACTTCTAAATAGAGTGTGCATGAGGAGAAATGGGCTTGTGCATGTTCCTGCACGCCTTTAATAGAAGTGCCATATCAGGATCAGGTACATGATTGTGCAGGTGCTTTTTTTTTTTTTTTTTTTACGTGGAGAGGGTAGGTCTTTTCAAAAAATCGTGAAAAATCCTCCACTACACCTTTAGCACCTTCCTGTAATTGATGTAAGCATTAATTTTGCTCATTAGCATAAAACCCTAAAGACAAATGTCAGGTCTTTGGTTTTAAGACTTTCTGTTCAAGAGCATTTTGGTTATGTTGATTAAGGTCAAAGAAATCAAGACGTCCAACTTGGAATGTCTTGAACATATTTTTGAACAGCCCCATCAAAGTCCAAACTGTAATTCTTTTAAGTTTCTATCTAAACAAGGAGTTCATGCTCAAACATCCACTACTGTGTCTCAAAGCAATTCCTCAAAGAAGAGAGAGCTGAAATGTCTAAGATGCTCTGAAAACTCTTCTCTAATTACTGTATAGAGCTGAAAACATCAATGTGACACAAAGAAAAGCAAAACTAGAGCAAACACAGTAGAAAGGTTGATAATATATTTTTTTATAAAGTTTGTGTCATTACTTAATTTACAACAAATGATCAACAATGTACTGTGCTAAATTCACAGAAGTCCCCTCTGCCTTGAGATGTATCCAAATGGGAATAATAGCAAGTATACTAAACTGCTATTATCCTCTATTTTTATACTATCACCATCCTTTTGGCCACAGCTGCATTGCAGAGCAGTTAACCCAGAACCAACTAGAGAAAGCCAACAGCACAGATGACTGTCTGGTCCATGACACCAGTTTAACAATTAAATATATAACTTTAACATCCAAAATAAAACTAGGACATTATTATTGAATTATGCTGCAGATTAATTATTTCAGTTTTATTTATGTTATAAGCAGAAATCCATCACTGTGTGACAATAGTGTCTAATGAACCAATATTTAAATATGCATAAAACAAAATGTAAAAGCATTGTTAGAATGAAATGATTCTCATATGATGATGGATTTCTTAGATAAAAGTCCACCATAGTAATTGAGGACCAAGTTACAGATGTGTTATAAGCTTTAAAAAAACATTTATTCCAGTAGAACAAACTCTAATATAATGAAATAATGTGTATTATTCAAGATTGAATGCATTTTGTAAGCCAGAGGAAGAACGTGTCTTTTATTAAAACTGTTAATTTTTGTTATGTTTTTAAATATAAATAAATCAACAAGGTTATACTTTCCAGTAGGGCTGCAGGTAATGATTATTTTGCAAGTCGATTAATCTCTTGATTATTTTTTCGATTTATCAATTAATAATCGGATAGCCAAAGGTCTCTTAGAAAAGATTTTTTTACAAAATTAAATCAGGCAAAACTAAAACTTTTCCGGATACAGCATATTGATGGCCAAAAACATTTGTTTTATATCTTAAATCCGAAATCTTTATATATCTTTATATTTATATATAATATCAATAATCGACTAATCTGATTAATTGTTTCAGCCCTACTTTCCAGGTTACTAAAATGCTTGCCATTTAAACAGAAACATAGTAACTTAAAGAATTTCAAACTTATTTTTTACCATACCCACTTTTGAATCAAATTTTGCATGTCAGTGTTATTTGATCAAGCAGAATATTTTTATTTCACTCTTAAAAATTTTTTGCCCTACAGTGAGAAACTATTCCAGGTTCATTTTAAATCCCATTCATCCATCTAATGGTTGTTCTCCTTTTCCATCTCACCGCCCATTTCTTTCTCTCCCTGTGACATGATTGAAAACACATGCAGACATTAAGACTTGCACCGTCTGCTTGCCAGGCTTTACTATTTCAAGGATGTTCTGAAAGTAATAAAACTCTAACACACGTGTATGAAAACGAATCATGTTAACAGGCAAAGCAGAGGCAGAGAGCAGCGCTCTATCACAAGCAGCAGCAGTCTGTATGTTGGTAACTCGACTCATTGCTGCACAGAGCAGCATTTACTGCATATTTACATCTCAAATGTACTTGTTAACCCGGTTTCTTTTAATATTTTGTCTTCTGCAGTTTCTGATGAATAATTCAAACTAGAAGAGGATAAAATACGTTCTTTAAAAGACTGATATTTAGAATTTATTTTAATGGGTCCCCACAGTTAGGAGTAAAAGATCTTTGAAATAGAATCCTGAAAATAAAAACTAAGTCTTAATATGATCTCAACATTTTTTTCTAAAGACTAAACCAAAAAATACACAAGCACCCAAATTTCTTTAAGGTGGTATTTACATTCTTCTCTCTCCTTCTCCTGAAGTTTGCTCTTCTCTTACCTTCTGAGAAGCTGATGAGCCCCAGGATGTGCAGGAGCTTGATGGAGGCGAACACTAGCACCACAATGCCCACTGTCTGCAGCCCCTCAGTCTCCCAGATGACGCTCAGCATCGCTCCACCCTCCGCCCTCTCCGGGCCACCATATCCCGACCCAAACCCTGAACCCGAGCCAGCCTCTTCCCCTTCCGAACCGTCAGCAGGACCAGGACTAGCACTCCCACCCGGTCCCGCACTCCAGTTCCCCTGCACCCACTCCAGCGCTGCCCCAGCCTGTGAGCACCGGCCGGGTGACTCCCAGCACCCTTCCTCTGTCGTTTCTCTTCTGCTCTTTAAATCCAGTCTGGTTCAGGTTAAGCTGAACCCTCCCACAGTTAAAGGTCAGATGTGAAGAATCTTCAAACTCATTGCAAAGTCATGTAAAAGTGGTAAAGGATAACAAATGTCCACCAAGCTGCCTATACCTACACCTCAAATAAGACACCAGAAAGCTGTGTAAAAGCAGAGGAGGAAAATCCAGCTCCTCTCTGACAGTTTGCAGCTTTCTGCTGCTCTTTCAGGCGAACTCGCAGCCTCTCTAAGATGTAAAGGGGAGGGAAGATGAGAGGGAGTGGATATCCGCGAGGGAGCAATGAAGGGAGGGCAGCGGCAAAAGGCACTCTGCAAGCCGAGGCAAACCTCTGTGAAAATATATAAATTAACTTCAGCTAAAATATGCAAGGAGCTCAGAAACTGTCACCAAATAATCATTACTGACAGCTCTGCTGGTTAGCAATATTAGGAAATGAGGAAGCAGAAAACAGTGTAAAAAACATGAAACTATGTTAATGGCCTGGTATTCAGTCATATTTAGCTTACTTCTTGTTGTTAAAACATGTTTATCAGTTTATTTTATCAGATTAAAGTAAAAGCAATCCACATAAGACTGGGTATTTTCAAATACAATTTAATTTCTGGATATTTATGTAAAGGGTAACAAAAATTTGGGTTGAATCAGACTGTAAATAAATAGATTTCATGCAACTGCTTTTCTTTTCTTTTCCAAGTCCACCTGTATGCAGCAGACAAAGAAAACTAAAAGACACTATTCTCCAAAAACGTAGAGAAAAATACTACCATCTGCTGGCCTTTTACAGAGTTCCCTTTCTCATAATCCACAGGTTCTCTATCAGCACATTTTCATTAAAGAGAATATAACTAAAAGTTTTTTGTTTTTTTTTTACTCGATGTCTCAATTCAAAATGTCAAAATTTTATAATGTAAAAATATATTATTTGTTAATTCTGGCAAAGATGGATTACAGCATAGTACAAAGCATAATAGTATGGTTAACAAAAAATGTTAAAACAGTATATAGGAAAAAAAAAAGATATTTAATAACTAATCGTTGGTGTTATGCGCGACAAAAACTGCTGTCTTGTCTCTGCTGTCATTAAAACAACCACTGACATCATATACTAGGAGGGTAAGACCAAAAGACTAAACAGCATGGCTTTTCACAAAGTGCTTTAACTAAGATAACAAGTGAAAAGTTTAGTGAAAAGAAAAAGCTTGGTAAAGACGGATAAAAGAGCAGCAGGGAGAACTGCAGCCTAGATAGGATTTTAAAGTAAAGTCCATTGACAAAAGAAATGGACTGCCTGGTGAGCCAGTGCTTTAACTATCACACAAGGATATATCCAGGAAGTGGGATTCAACTGAGTAAAGCCTCTACAAAAAAAGCACAAAATTAAAATTAATATATCCTAACGGGGCTCATCAAAAGAATTACTTGAAACAAAAAAATTCCCTTTTTTAATTAGAGATTTTCATTAGCTGTACATCCTCATAATTGAAAATAACTGCAAGGAACACCAGCTATGAGTTTTCTTTTATTTCATTTTTTTTTTACTTGGTAATCATATTCAAATGTATTGTAATAAACCAGTTAAACTGTGCTTTACACACTCTAAACATAATATTCTATGTTTTTATGTTATTTGCTGCATTCTATTTGATTATATCTGCTGCTCTGTTTCCCATTCCACGCTTCAGGGGTGAATCTCTATTGCAAAATGCAGAAAGCCGTCTGCCTTAACTGCAATCATCACTGCAGAGTATTAAGTTGGCTCTGTGAAAGGAACCATAACTCACCGCTTACTCAATTGCTCTGTGTGATAAATGGTATATGGACAGAAAAGCTAACAATCTATTTACATTCAGCAGACCAGATATGGTCAATGCTCCATATAACATGGAGAAACATATTGGTGGATATCTACTTTTCTTTGCCTATTTTATTAACAAGGTTAGAATGAAGATGTTTGGTTAATAAGCAAAAGCAATTCAACTAACAGTAACTTGTTTCTAGGACTGTAACACACAGAAATGACAAGACTGATATCTAAGAGTGTTTTTGCAACAGAGCACTAGTTATGGGTACATGATCTGATTAGAGTCCATCACTTCTGTTCATAAATATTTCAAAATGTATTTTGTGTTAAATTACGAAGACTTGCCCCATGTGAAGCCTGCAGTGCTGCTGATATCCCAAGTTCTGCAAGAACCTCCTTGATGTGCTCTGGAAATTTTGGCTCACTGGGCTATCCTATGAAGATTTACCCTTTGATTCACTGTATAGTTGTACAAACACTTTGAAATGGCACTGCAACCTTTTTAAGACCAATTGGCTAATAATTATGTCTTGTCAGTTTTCAAATTTATTTTGATCTTTTAGCTCACTTAATGTCGTTCTATCTAAATCTGCTTTTGGTTCCACAAGCCGAATCGCAAGCAGCCATAGGTGTGCCAAGTAAAACAATACGACTGAGAAATTGCTGCGTATAAGTAATTCCAGCTTCCGTTTGGGGGAACTTTGTGCCACATAGAACCAGGTTGGTCTGGATAGCTTTTACATTGTGACAATTAAGTGTTACAAAAAAAAAAAAAAACAACAACAAATAAACAATTGGAATTCGGTACCATTTATGTCTCGCAACATTTGAAATTGAAAGCAAGCATAATTTATTGAAAAGTCCTACTGTCCACTTTAAAAAAAAAATGCACATGCAAAACCCTGTACACGCTCCCGAGAAGGAACACCTATTAAACATGTGCGAGAGCGTGCACGAGCCCATTTCTCCTCGTGAACACTCTGTTTAAAAGTTGCCCTTTACATCGCTCATATAAGCTTACTTTCCAAAAGAAGCTTTGCAATTTTTCAACAATGTCAGACTCACTACAGGTGAGAGAAAATGGGAACGAACATTTAGGACGGCCTTACGTAAACATATCACCAGAATCATTGACAATTAGGAGGACCACTTATTTTGATGATCCACCCGGACAAAAATATCATCCTCCACTATACCTTTAAGGTAGTCACATCCTCACAGAAATGTGTTTCCAAATGATTCAAGCTAAACTCTAATCGAATATTTTTCAATTTCTTTTTAGCAAATAAATAATCTTTTAAACAGCAGCATCATTCATACACATGCATATTTGTCACCATTCTGCTTTTCTCAACAGACAAACCTATTCTAGGGGATGTCCATCTTTTACTGAAAATAAAATGCTCCTTTTTAAAAAATCAGTTGGTACAGTACAAACCTTTTGTAAATACAGAGAGCAACTGTTATTAATGATTTATTTGAAGAGGCACTGATGTAGTTTCTTCTGCGTGACTTAGAAATGTAGCCAATATGATTTTCTAAAAAATACAGATTTCAAGATGACGGCAAAACTCAAAATAATCAACTATTAGAGTTTATATCCTTTTATTTATGGCTCCTTTTTAATGTAAAACAAAAATAACAACAAAAATAAACTGTTTCAAAATGAGTTCAACAGGTTCCATTTTGTAACTGCGAGCTACACGCAGTTACAGTATGACTCCAGCAACAACAAAAAGGCTAATATTAACACCATCGTCAATCAATTCCATGAACAAATTTGTGCTCGTCTCATCATTTACACATAAGCTAAAGCGCAAAGTTTGATATAATTAGGTGGCACCTGTAAGCATTCAGTCAGACATGAAAACAAGGACTAAGTGTTCAATTTGGGTTTTTTTTTGCAATGGAAAATAAATGAGGTTGTCATATTTATAGAGGTGGTCCCTATGAGGCGGTTGACAATTATGAGCTGTGAACCAGATCGACCTCGATGAAGCGGTATGGGCAATCAGCCGTTGAGTGCCATAGGCTGACTGACACTGCAGGGTAATTTGTGGGCTGGCAGCTACAATTGCCTCTCTACACATTTGCAGTTTTCAGCTCTTTAACTTTTATATAAAAAACAATGGATGAAGGGAAAACTTGATCACAGATGATATAACTCTTTTAGGCCTATTAGTTGTTTTACTGTTGATCAGCTGAGATGGTCCTTAAATACAGACATTGTTTGGAAGAAGGAAAAGCATAAACTGAGCCTCCATTAACCACTCAAGTAGTACAAACTTTCAAATTTCCTACACAGCAATAATTCAGTTTGTCTGGTGCACCTTTATCAAAAAAAGGGCAGCTCCAAGTGCAAGTGCTGGGTCTGCAGAGAGGATAATTAGGATTCAAAATCAGCAAAATCAACATTTTGAGCCATTAACTGTTTAGGTTATAATGCAATTCGTTTATCAAAGGTATTTTGCTTGGTTTATGCATCTTTGTCTGCAACCAATTGTTTTAAGAAGGTGCGGTTGAAGGATAACTGTGCAGTAATGCACCTTCCTGTGCCTGCACATAAAACATGCACCAACTTTCTCCGATCGGGAGAGGGGTGACGTGAGGCAGAACACAATGATTGAGGCTTATAGTAAAGCATAGCTAATGTGCACACAGCAGCAACTTCTCTATTTTCCAAAAAATAGAAAAAAAAGTGTGTGTTTTTTTTTTTAGAGGTCTCAGACTTTGTTAAGCCTTTAGAAGTTTTGTTATGCAGAGACATCATAAAATGGATGGCAACCAAACAGGGAGAGGTGGCTTTGCTTTAAAGTTGAGGGTCATTGGGGTTGAAAGAAAACTATATTTTAGAAAAAATTATTGATACTTATTAATTCTTCATATAAATGTGTATAGATGAAACTGAGACTTTAAAAGACTTAAAAAAAGCATGATATACTGTACAAAAAACTATACTTACAAATAATTGTAGTGTATATGTGTTTCCCTTTATTCCCCACTTGGTAAACTAAAGTAAACATACATTGTTTTTACACATACTCTCAGCATATGAGGATTTAACTGCACTCCAAGTTTCACTGCAAAGTTAAAGAAGTTCACTTTCTTTTAAGCCATCACTAGCTCTGTAAAATCTGGTACCAAATCAGTCTTGTGTGTTATTCCTCTCATGCAGGTCTACCATTCATTTAGCAAAACTGTCTCCTGTGTATTTTATTGTGGTCCTCTTTTAAAACTCAAACTGTAACAGATGTCTCATATTCAAGCTTGGATAAGTAGTAAACACAAGGGCTCTAACTGTCTTTTTATTCCTTGTTAAAATGGTTCTCATCAAGGTTTATTCATTGGTTCATAAAGCGTGTAGCTGGAAAACACCTGAAGGTGTCTAAAATTGCTTTTTTTT